GACACTGCAGTGATCATGCATACAAAAATAGCAGTGTTAAATTGTATCCTAGACCAACAGGACCTAATTGATACCTAGAGAATAGTATACCAACAGCTGAGGGATGCACATTCTTCCCAACAGCATAGGATTGAATACATAGCATGTCATAAAAAAGTCTCAACAAATTTAAGGAATATATAAATTATACTGAACATTTTTATGAGCACAATGCAATAAAACTAGAAACTGGTAAGCAATTTACACGTGAACATTCAATGAATCAAAGGAACTAAGAAGGAAATTTAAATGTTTCCCTTTCTTAAATATTTATTTATTTATTAATGAGAAACAAATGCAAATGAAAAAATAACATATAAAAACTTAAATGGTATAGCAAAAACAGTTTATACCAACAACTACCTACATTAAGAAAACAGAAAAATTTCAAACAACATTTTGTTGTACCTCAAATGAATGATAAAATAAGAATCTGGCCCCAAATTATTACAAGGAAAGAAATAATGAAAATAAGAGCAGACATGAATGAAATAGACTAAAACACAAAGTGACAAAGGGGTAAAGAGATCATTTTTTGGAAACATAAACCAAATTGACAACCCTTTAGTTAAACTAAGAAAACAGACTCAAGTGTAGAAAATCAGATGAAAAAAAAATTACAATAGATAGCAAAGAAATATAAAGGATAATTGTAGATTCATATCAATACCTACATGATAACTAATTTGAAAATTTTTAAAAGTGGAAAAATTCCTTGACATGTACACCTTAACAAGATTGAATCATGGAGACACATAATACCTGAACAGAAATATAATCAACAGAGAACAGAGAACTGGGGCTGGTATGATAGTGCAGTAGACAAAGCCGCCGACTGCATCCCATATGGGTGCCAGTTCGAGTCCCGGCTGTCCCCACTCTGGATCCATCTCTCTGCTATTGGCCGGGGAAAGCAGTAGAAAATGGCCCAAGTCCTTGGGACCCTGCATCCATGTGGGAGACCTGGAAGGAGCTCTTGGTTCCTGGCTTCGAATCAGCCCAGCTAAGGCCTTTACCCACTTCGTCACAATGCCAGCCAATGATTCATATTTTTAAGGGCTCTGTACACTGCTTTTAACGGATCTATATGCAAAATTTTGTGAAGGTTCATAGCAAATGGCAATATTAAAAATATTACAGAAGTCACAGTTTTATAAAACTATAAATTCACTAGCAAAACAGTACACAATTCATCTTTTTTATTCAATTAAAATATTATGCTATTAACATATCATATTAATATATTTGACACAATTAAAGAATCACACCACTTCCCCTGTTTTTTTGCACAAACTCTATTCTTCTCACCCCTCCCAATCTCTATTAAGCAATATTCTAGGTTCAGATTAAGTTTATTTTTAAAAAGACGTATTTATTTATTTGAAAGTCAGAGTTACAAAGAGAGAGTGAGAGACAGAAAGAGATCTTCCATCTTCTGATTCACTTTCTAGATGGCCTCAATGGCCAGTGCTGGGCCAGGCCAAAGCAAGGAGCCAAAAGTTTCTTCCAGGTCTCCCATGTGGATATCAAGGGCCCAAGCATTTGGGCCATCTTCCACTGCTTTTCTCAAGCCATTAGCTGAAAGCTCAATAAGAAGTGGAGCTTGGGCCCTGCACCTGCATGGGAGACCAGGAGAAAGCACCTGGCTCCTGGCTTTGGATTGGCGCAGCACGCCAGCCGTAGCGGCCATTTGCGGGGTGAACCAATGGAAGGAAGACCTTTCTCTCTGTCTCTCTCACTGTCTAACTCTGCCTGTCAAAAAAAAAAAAGAAGAAGAAATGGAGCAGCTGGGACACGAAGTGATGTTGATATGGAATGTCGGCATCTCAGGCAGTAACTTAACCAGCTATGCCACAATGCTGGCCCTTAAATTGAGATTTTTTTTTAAGTTCCCACATATGCGTGAGAACACGCAGTATTTGTCTGTGTCTGGGGTATTTCACTCAATATAATTTCCTCCAGGTACATTTATTTTGCTATAAAGAACAGGATTTTATTCTTTTTCACGGATACATGGTATTCTGCTGTGTATCTGTACCACATTTTCTTTATCCTTTCATCTGATGATGGACACCTTGACTGATTCCATATATCAGCTATTCTGAATAGTGCTACAATAAACATAGTAAAGCAGGTATATCTCTTTGACACAATGAGTTCATGTTGTTTTTTTTAAAGATTTATTTATTTATTTGAAAGTCAGAGTTACACAGAGAAAGAAGGAGAGGCAGAGAGAGAGAGAGGCCTTCTATCGCTGGTTCACTTCCCAATTGGCTGCAACGGCCAGAGCTGTGCCAATCCGAAGCCAGGAGCCTGGAGCTTCTTCCAGGTCTCCCAAGTGGGTGGAAGGACCCAAGCACTTAGGCCATTTTCCACTGCTTTCCCAGGCCATAGAAGAAAGCTGGATCGGAAGTGGAGCAGCCAGGACTCGAACTGGTGCTGATATGGGATGCTGGCACTGCAGGCAGCAGCTTTATCCGCTACACCACAGCACTGCCCAAGTTCACGTCTTTTGATCCATACCCAGTAGTGGGATTGCTGGATCATATGGAAGTTCTGTGTCTAGTTTTTAAGAGAACTCCATACTGTTTTCCTTAGTGACTACTAATATACACTCCAACCAGTGTATAAGAGTTCCTCTTTCTTGGGCTAGCATTGTGGTCTAGCAAGCTAAAGCCACTGCCTGTGCTGCTGCTACACTACAGCACCAGCCCCAGGGCTCTATTCTTTGTTTAATAATTAAATTTTTTATTGAAGGCATACATACTTTGTGAATTTCATAAATACAAATTAAGGAACATAGTGGTTCTTCCCACCCTACCCACCCTCCCACATGCACTCCCACCCTTCTATCTCCTCCCTATC